CTAAATGGAATCTTTATTGGGTATCCATATATATTGCAGATAGGACTGATTTAACAAGAAAGAATGTTTTAAAAGTTCCGTATATTTTGAACTCTAATATTCCATACTTGCATCAGTAAAAAGAAAATTACCACACAAAGAAAGTTATGACATCCATGAAGGATTTTAGACTGTTGCTTAAATTAGCCCATTTTTGTTAAGGGCCTAATCAACTTAAGGACAGTGAATAGTAAAAGTTAACATTCTGCCAAAGATATATTTAATACAATTCTTTTGAACCATGTGTTGAAGATACATTATACTATAATTCATTTTGACTGCCAACATTAGTTCTCTTCTGATAAAACCACAAAAAAGAAACAGCTGCAGATGGTTTTTTAAAAAAACTTACAAGCCAGCGTTGAGGATCCGAAGCCACTGGAATTCTCTTTTAAGTGACTGGGGACAGTTTTTCTTTTGCTAATAGGAATCTGAAGACTATTAAGTATTTGTCAATAAAGTAATAAAGTAATAAAGTATAGTTATTATACTGGAGAAAAACACAAGGCAAATGCGTGTAAATTTAATGTACATTCAAGCACTGAATATTTTGCATTCTTCCATTTTGACAGCAATTTTGGATGCTACTTTACTGTTCTGCAGTTTTGGGTCCTGACTGGGAGTATGAAGGAGGAATTGAAGTCTCCTTTTTTGATCCTCTTTTTTTGAACAAAAAACAGTTGGTAGAAGTAAAATCATATGTGTTATCGAAGGCTTTCATGGCCAGAATTACTGGGTTACTGTGAGTTTTTTGGGCTGTATGGCCATGTTCCAGTAGCATTATCTCCTGATGTTTCACCTGCATCCATGGCAGGCATCCTCAGAGGTTTGTTCAGAGGTTTGTTCAGACCTCTGAACAAACCTCTGAGGATGCCTGCCATAAATGCAGGTGAAACATCAGGAGGGATAGCTACTGGAATATGGCCACACAATCCAGAAAACCAACAACAACCCAGTAAAATCACAGCCAGATGCATTATCCATCCAGGTGAGCATCTGGCAATAACTCAGCCCAACTTCAGAACATGCTACATAATTTTCAGCTGCACTGGACTTTTTGTTTTGGTTTGAATTTTGGAAATTTTGTGTTTCTGGAAAGAGATAAAATTATCCTAGTGCCAAAGGGATTTCATGGCAATTGTTTCAACAACATTTGTTTAACTGACTATCTTGTGTGAAATGAGAGACCACTGGCTCCTGAGATGTCTTTTGCTAACCATTTGGAAGTTCCCCTAATCCTTAACTGAAATCTGCTATGTCCAGCCACTTGCTCTAGTTTTGTAAGTGTGTGGAACAGAGAGGAACTCTCTCTGTACTTTGCATGACAGCCTCCAGCTATTTGAAGACCACTTCAGAGACAACGCAATCACCAATCTGGTTTACGTTTCAGAACTGACTGCAATTGTAACAAGAACCAGGAGATCTTTTGCCATCTTATACTGTCTGTCTCCAATTTTGTACAAGTCTGCATTCCTTCTTGCTGTCTACATTTTGGCAAATTTTTGACTAACACCCTCCAAACATTTTGGAGAAAGAAGACCTTTTAACTCTCCATGTCAAAATCCTTTTCACCAGCCATTCATTTTTCAGGATGTTACTCTGAAATGTGACTCAATTGGACCTGTTTTGCAATTGTTCACTTAAATATCAAAATGTTTGTTTACTCAGGATTAGGCTCACTGGTTGAGACAAATATGCTGAAATTACAGCCTAAGGTTCTCTCCAATCTCTTGATTCAGAAGAAGAAATCAGCCATGGGAAACAAGATTCTGGAACAAACAGGGCTTTATATTGATCCAACAAGATTCTTCTTATGGTCTTCTGCTTGCCATTTTATCCAACTGGACTGAAGATGTGGGGGAGTGGATGATTGGCTAAGGGAAGGCTAGTTTGCCAGCAGATCTAACACAAGCTAAAAGTGGCTGACGTTGTAGAGGGCCCCTCAAAGGCAATGTATTTTGAAATCGACTCATATTCAGCATCAGAAGAGCAACTGAATCACCTTAGTCTTGAAAGGCAAACCTTTAATATCCTCATTGAAGAAAAGAAAACAGATTTAGAAACTGACTCAGCTAGCAAGTTCATAGCTGACTAGGATTTTGGATATCAAGTTCAGTACTATAATCACTGGACAACCATGCTGGCTCTAACCACAAACAGACTTGCAGTAAGTGACAAACCACTGCCTTGCCAGCTGCCTCCTATAGTGTACGAATGTGGTGATTGTTCCAAAAATGTAATGGGAAAAAAGATATATATTTTGAAAAAAGTTGTCATATGATCCAAGCTTGCCAACCACATACACATCTGTGTTTAACTAAGGAATCCGAGTTAGTCTTGGGCAAGTTTTAAGCTTAGTATTACCCATCAGATTACCAGTTTGCTTGTTAATCATTTTTAATCACCTTTTACCCCGCACTATCCTTAGTAAGCAAGTTGTGTATTTGTGAATGAAAATAGCACCAAAAAGAGAATCCTAAACAGAGGAAGTCCCATGATTCAGCAGATCAGCACATGTGCAACTGTTACATACTGAATGACCTAATACTTAACACTGATATTACAAAAGAAAAGTATGAAAAGTATGAAATTGTTTCAACTGCATGAGATTCCAGTACAATCATAATACAGACTGAAACAAACTTTGAATAGGAGCCACAAAAACATTGACAACGGAACATTTCAGATACCTTAAAGCAGGGGTCCTCAAACTTTTTAAACAGAGGGCCAGGTCACAGTCCCTCAAACTGTTGGAGGGCCAGATTATAATTTGAAAAACAAACATGAATGAATTCCTATGCACACTGCACATATCTTATTGGTAGAGCAAAAAACACTTTAAACAATTTAATAATTAAAATGAAGAACAATTTTAACAAATATAAACTTATTAGTATTTCAATGGGAAGTGTGGGCCTGTTTTTGGCTGATGAGATAGATTGTTGTTGTTGTTGTTGTGTACTTTAAAGTCATTTCAGACTTAGATTGACCCTGAACGAGGGCCGGGTAAATGACCTTGGAGGGCCGCATCCGGCCCCCGGGCCTTAGTTTGAGGACCCCTGCCTTAAAGTAAGGAACCAGAGAAAGAACATACTACTAAAACGACTTAGAACAGAACGATATTATTACAGGCCTGATTTAAAATCTTTAGTCTATGCATGTGCATGTTCACTTTTTATCACTGGTTGAGACTTCTTCTATGTTTAAACACTGCAGAAGCATCCACAGGACTTTACATATACATCCTATATAGCAGGCATGGCAAACTAAGGCACGGGAGCTGGATGCACAGCCCTGGGTGCTTATCTAAGGCCCTCCTCATAATCGTTTTCCTCTTGGCACAAGGACAAAGTGGCCTGCCTCGTTCCTATGCCAAAATAACAATGAAGGCATGCAGTGGCTGAGAGTCCTTTGGAGCACTCTCAGCCACCACGTGTCTCACCCTCCTCCTGGCATAAGGACGGTGCGAGCAGCCCCATCCTTATTCCAGGAGGATGGCTCAAGGAAGGCATGCTGTGGCTGAGAGCCTTCCGGAGCACTCTCAGCCACTGCCTGTCTCATCCTCCTCCTGGCATAATTTATTTATTTATTTATTTATTTCTTGTACTTATTGACCGCCACTCTCAGCCCTAGGGGCGACTCGTGGCGGTGAACAACAACATAGAAAGACAATATACAAAATGCCAAGAGGACAGTCCAAGGATCGGGGGAGGAAGATTGGGGCAGTTGCCACATGTCTTTCCTTTCTCCCAGCATAAGAATGGGGTGAGCAGTCCTGTCCTTATGCCGGGAGAACAACCTGAGGAGGGCCCATGCCCTGCCCTTGCCCTCCCCCTCCCAGGCCCACACCACCCAGGGTGTGCCCGGCAACACTCCCTCCTGGCCTGGCCCACAATGAGGCCCCAAGGCAAAAAAGTTTGCCCATGCCTGCTATATAATTATATCCAAGAATGAGACAGAACTTCTAAGTAACTACTTCTAAGTCTTCATCTGAAACCTTTAAAAAAGATTTTAAAATCTTCTCAAAATGTACTTTTGACATTTCACTTGTTCTCTACATATCTTCTAATACTTTTTGATTACCCTGATTACCTTTTACTATTTTTGCTCAACCCCCCCCCCCCAAATTTTCAGGTTAAAAAAAACCTGGTTTACTCATGAATTTTAACTGGTTAACCAAATCCCCATGCTAAGTCTATGAGACGCAAAAAATTAAGTCCCTCCAGAACTGCATTTTACACTGTCATTACTTGCAGCAATAGCCGATGTAGCGAAGCAACCAAGTTGGGGGGGGGGTGTTGAATGCTCTCATTAAGGAGGCCAGACTTGGTGGAGGTGGTTGACAGGGGCGGAGCTGCAGGCTATTGAAGGCTGCTCTGCCCCTGCTGTGCTCTTTGCTTCAGCATGAGCTAGGAGGCAGGTTTCAACCCCCCCAAATTTTCAACCCCCCCCCCCCCAATTTTTTTTCTGGCTACGGCCCTGTCCACCAGTGACCACTACTCTTCATAATGCTTTTTTGAGGAGATATCATAGTTTTATATCATGTTTAAATATTTTATTTGGGGGGAAAACTAGGTTGGATCCATATCAACTTCTTCCATAAAAGATACCTGGGGGGGGGGTCCTTTTGCAAACCATTCTCCCTTCCTCTCTTTCAATCTTTCTCTCTCTCTCTTTGGGAAACCTGTAGAGCAGGGTTTTTTAAGGTTGCAGGAAAAGAACACCCTGTTATGGTAGTTGACTTCTATTAACTTAATACTTGATTTCAACCCTCCACTGATTTTAAGATGGGTGATCTTCATTTTGGAAATGGATACATACATGTTCAGATATGATGGAAGCAGAAGTCTTTACAACAAGATAGAAGGAAACAAGACTTCTAGTTGCAACTTTCCTTTGACAAAAAAAATACAAGAAAAAGCAAAGAAATAAAATTTCAATATTCAAAGGAATATTCTTACCTGAGTTTGTTTCATTGCACGTTCCATCCGACGGACACTTCCTCTTTCAAGCTTTGTTCGGAGAAGGAGAGCAGAAGTCTGAATGGCCCAAAACTTTGGTTGTGACAGCAGATACTAAGGGGAAAATAAAGAAAGCTTTAAAAGTCATTTATTTTTCAGAATTTGGAAAATGGGACATTTTGACTTTCTTGGCTTTCTTGGTTTGGTAGGCAGCTATAAAAAATTGGCAACCACCTGTACCATCTCGACAAAGACAGCTTTAAGTCATAGCAAACCTACATCTGTGTACTATTCAAATCACCTCAGGGGTGATTTGAATGCAATATTCCTGCTTCTTGGCAGGGGGTTGGACTGGATGGCCCATGAGGTCTCTTCCAACTCTTTGATTCTATGATTCTAATTGTTGCCAATACTACAAATGCATCTAAGACTACCAGTGTGGGGGCGGGGATCGTACAAGCAACATGTTGGCTTCTGCTTAGAATTTTTTTAAGTTAGTTCAATAATGGTAAGAGAAGTCTTATCACTAGCCTCCTTCCGCAAGGACCTGAAAACCTGGTAGTTCCAGCAGGCTTTTGGAAATGATTAGCCCCAGGCCCTACCTAGCTATTACTTAGGTCCCTGCTCTGCACTCTACCCATTTTCCCTGCCCTTTGCTACCTCCTTGTACTAGCCCTGGTCCAGCCCTATTATAACTATTCAGCAGGCCCTGGAAATGAATAACCGCAGGCACTATCCTGGCCATGAGTTAGGGCCCTGTTTTGCACTTTATTATTTATTTATTTGAAACATTTATATTCTGCCCTTCCCACCCCGAAGGGGACTCAGGGCAGAGCACAGCATATAAACAGCAAACATTCAATGCCGGACATAAATAGACCTTGTACATACATAGACAATTAAATAATTTATCTCGACGTTAAACTCCATTGTTTATCCACTTCCCCGGGCCTATGTTTTCCCCATTGGCCCAGCCCTTTTGTGGTTATGCAGCAGGTCTTGGAAATAATTAGCTCCAAGTCCCACCCTGACCATCAGGCAGGACCATGCTTGCACTTTACCCACTCCCCGGCCCTTACTCTATTTTGTTATACTAGCCCAGCCCTCCCGTAGTTGCCAAGGCCCACTCTGGAATTCTTGCCATTGGAAGCTGAACTTGCCCGATGGAAATTAATACTGAACTGGCTTTTAATTTTAAATACATACGACTGTTATATAGTATTATGTCTATGTTTTTTTAATGATCACTTTGTATGTTTTGTGTCAGTAATTGCAATTGCTTTACCTATGCTGGAAACTGCCCTGTGTCCCCTCAGGAAGACAGAGGGGTATAGAAATAAAAGTTTATTATCATTATTAGTTATTATTGTTATTGCAGGTAGTCCCCGAATAATGAACATCTGATTTACATACAACTCATAGTTATGAACAGACCTCTCCTGCCCTGCCATGAGGACCTCACAACCTCTGAGGATGCCTGCCATAGATGCAGGCGAAACGTCGGGAGAGAATGCTTCTAGCACATGGCCATACAGCCCGAAAAACCTACAACAACCCAGTGATTCCAGCCATGAAAACCTTCGACAATGAATTAACACTGATACAATCGTTATGCAACTATCCCATATCTAATATTCAATAAACGGCAGTCACTAGAATAGTTGTAGATTACTTTAACATACTTTAATACTCATCTTATTTGACAGCTAAACTGTTTTTGGAATTACTGAGGAAGGTTTCATGACCTTGCTCCAAAATCTTGACTTGGAAAGCCAAGAAAAATAAGCCCAGATATCAAAGTTCTCAAAGGAGAGGCTTTTGCTTTGGTTATCTGATGATATTTGCTAGATATGACAGAAATAAGGAAAGACGGTAGCATAAGAAGGGATTAAATTTAGTAATGGAATGACAACACCAGTGATGGTTATGAAGACTGGAGCACAGGTATCTCCCCTAAAAGCCAAGTAAAGATGTAGGGCAGATTATGATTTTTCTATTTGAGGAAGAAACCATATCCAGAGTCCATAATAAGTACCTGTATTGTACAAATACTCCCTTAGCCAAAGTAATCAATCATGAGAGAATACAGATGGACAATTAGCAGCATGCCCTGCTTTTAAAATGTTCTTTCACTTAGATTACTTTTTACTATATTTCAAATAGAGTCAACAGTAATGGAGTTTAATGTATTCAAATTTCCTGTTTAAAAAGCTTTCTCCAACCAAATCTATAACAGAACTTTTGGAATGTAAGTTAATAAGAAATAGAAGTATTTGAGATGTCCGCTAACTATAGAATTTGTACCTTCCAGAGAAAGGAATGTTTGCAGCTGGTCTATGGGGGGCTACTACTTTAAGAGATAGGCTATACAAGCTTATGTTCCTGGCATTGCCTGAGTATGCTTTTTCTTCGCAGCTCTTTTTTCCCTTCCTTTCCCCCACTTTCCTTCCTTCCTTCCTCTTACTTACTTTCTTCCTTTCCCTCATGCACCTTCCCTGCTTTCCTCCCTTCCTTTCTTCTCCTTCACTTTCTCTTTCTTTCTTCCTTCCTTCTGGACTGTCATACACCTTCCCTGCTTTCCTCCCTTCTATTTCACTTCCTTCCTCCTTCCTTCCTATCCAGACACTGAACATGCTATTAAAAAATCAAGGGATTCTGTCAAATTATATGAGTTGTGTTGTGCAGCTAGATCCCTGAAAATCAGGTAGACATGTCTTCTGAGAGCAGAGCACTTATTCCCAGCGATGGCATATTCTGCAAATATGTATCTGACAAGTTCATGTAAACTGACACATGTTTTTGTGTGTGTGTCAGGAGCAACTTGAGAAACTGCAAGTCGCTTCTTGTGTGAGAGAATTGGCCATCTGCAAGGATGTTGCCCAGGGGACACCTGGATGTTTGATGTTTTGCCATCATGTGGGAGACTTCTCTCATGTCTCCGCGTGAGAAGCTAGAGCTGACAAACAGGAGCTCACCCCACTCCCTGGATTCAATCCACCGACCTTTTGGTCAGCAATTCAGCCGGCACATGGGTTTAACCTACTGCGCCACCAGGGACTCCAATTCACTGGGGGCTCCAATAACTGACACAATGATTTCAGAGCTTCTCTTGTGATCTTATGCCAGTGTTGAACAATTCTTGCATTTAGTTTTTCAGCCCCTGGTGGCACAAAGGATTAAACCCTTGTGCCAGCAGCGGTTTGAATTCGGGTAGAGTAGGTTGAGCTTCCTCTGTCAGCTCCAGCTCCCCATGCAGGGACATGAGAGAAACATCCCACAAGGATGGTAAAACACCCAACATCCAGGCATCCCCTGGGCAACTTCCTTGCAGACAGCCAATTCTCTCACACCAGAAACAACTTGAAGTTGTCAAGTCGCTCCTGACACGAAAAAAATGTTTTTTAAATGTTTAATTAAAATGTATCTCTTGTATGCTTTTGTTTCTGTTAGACCAAAGTAAATTGATTGTCTCTTGTGCTCCTCTGGCCCTTTAGGCATCTTTATCATTTTAAATAAACTTACAGAATATTTTGCATTAAATTACATAGTATTTTTTCTTCAAGCCATCTTGTAATGTTGGCTGTGAAGACAGAACTCTAAATCAGGTGTCACCAATCCACCCAACATCTGCCAAAGAAGAGACCTCTGAACTTTGTTTCTGGTTTCCGGTGATTTCTCTATGGTCTTAGGGTCTTAGCTCTATATATTTATAACTGAGAATCATTTACTTAAACTGCTAGAAGCCTATAATGCCAAATTCATTTCACCTGGATAACACTACACATTCAGAATGGCACACTGGCCATTCCCAAGAAATCAATGCCATCCAACTAGTTTTTACTTCTATCTGTAAAACCAATCCTTGTACTGCACAACTGAAAGCAGCTTTTCAGTACAACACGTGTTTGGCAATCACCAGCAGAAAAAGACTTAAAGCTTTTAGCCACAATTGGTACAGTCCATTTTGTTAAAAAGCAAATACAAGATCAAGGCTTCAGCGTTATCTGCACAAAGGAAGAGTTTAATCAGAAACGGTATTTTTTTTAAAAAAATTGCTTTATCTAGTCTTTCAGCCAGACTTTCAACATTACATCATTAAAAATAAATAGTAAGAATTGCTTCATTAGATTAGAGAAAGAAAAAAACTTAGATATAACACACAAAAACTTACATATTGATCATTTTTCAGATTACAGGCCTATTTAAAAATGTGAACTTGTCAACAAATATCCCCAATATGTTTCATACAATGTTTTTAAACGTTGTATTGAAATACAATTTTCAGGACAAGGGAGATTCCTGAAAGTATTTTTACTGGCTGAATCAGCAGCCAGTATACAGCAGAAATTGTATGCATATGAACCCGTACCCATTACTCTGGCCTGGCCCAGTTTTATTGTGTTTAGTGTATTGTGCCTGTTGTTTATTTTGCTTTATTCTATTTTTAATTGTTTGATTTGCTTAGATTGTATTGTTGTGTTGTGTGTTGAGGCCTTGGCCTGTGTAAGCCGCATCGAATCTTTCGGGAGATGCTAGCGGGGTACAAATAAAGTTTAATAATAATAATAATAATAATAATAATCCCACCAGTAAATATTTCATTAAGGGTGGTGTGAAATGAGAACAAACTTTTATTAGCTTTTGGGGCAGGTACAACAGTCATGTTTAGCTAACACTGGGGAAAATAATGATGCAGGGCTTGCAGATTTTAATGCTATCGTCTTCCTACTTCTTTTCCTTTAGCAATTCAGGTGCTATCTATGAAGTGGAGATTTCTAGATAACTGAAAAACAGCAAGTCGTGTGTGTGCGTGTTAACAAGCACATCAGTCCAATCCCAGAACTCTTTTATAGATGGTGCTCATACTGCTCATTTTTTCTAAATCAGTGGTTCCCAACCTTTTTTTGACCAGGGACTACTTTGCCCAGGGGCCACTCTCCAACATTAATACCAAAAGGGTTATAAATCAGTTTTTGGTAAAGTTTAGATTCGGTTTGGTTATTTGGGGTGCTGATTCAGAAAATTGTATTGGATAGACCACATCAGCTCTAAGAGTTCCTGATACAGAGCATATGACAAGGAAAGGACCAGACACAAGGCTTTTTCTATTTCTG